TCCAGAGCATCGCTCTGGAGGACTAGGCCTCCATTTGTGCTAGTGCATGCTATTTTGATGCACTCTGTACCACTATTTTTTTTTTTGCCATCAGGAAATCCTGGTAGCAAATTTTGCCCCCACACTCCAAATCAGCAGCGCACCACACACTTTAATGTTCAACATGTGCAGTTTGGGGTGCCACAAACCACACATGCCTACATGTGTGGACATGGCCATGTAAGTCTTCAGCATAACAGACTGTATAGTTACTGATGATTATTATTAGACTCTAAGAGTTTATCATTTCTATTTACCTGCTAATAGCAAGTTTGCCCTCATTCTTCACAGCCTGATAGATTTGTCTCTCTTCCTCCGTAAGCGTAACATGCTGAATAAATACTTTACGTTCTGGCAACTCCAAAACTGGCTTCCCTTTAATTTTGCTCGTTTTAGTTCTTCTAAGAGTAATATTTTTAATTAGGGACTGTAAACGCCTAGAAAGACATAAATGAACCAGTTTAACAGGTTACCAAAATGTTTGCTTAGTTTACTGAAAAAGTAAAGAAAAAACAAACAGCTCTCCTGCACAAAATTGACTACTATTACTAAATGAAGCATATTTTCAATTTATACATGAAACGTAAAGAAATTAAAAACACCAGTTTGTCAGTGTTTGTCAGTGATCATACTTATCTGCAGCATACTACGAACTCTCCATACCTAAGCCCCCCTTGATCTCCCATCGTAACAGGGCGCTGAATTGTTCTATGCCACCACTCTCGATCAGCAAATGGTTTCAGTTTTAGAAAGGAGAGAAGTGACCACAAATCCTTTAAGGAATTCTGGATAGGAGTGCCTAAAAAAAAAAAAGTAACACTGAACATGTAATATGTCCAATACATAAATTAAGTTCCAAGCTAAAACAGCTCTCTCCCCTCAACCCAGATTGTGGGTTTTTTTTGTTTTTTTTTAAATGAATTCATGTTTTGGATCTGTGACATTAAAAGAAAGCCGATGCTCCTACAAATCAACTAATCATTACGTTAGCATGCACTTGCACGGACAAGTCTTTCTACAGTTAATTCAATGCATCCTTCCATTGAAGTCAAGTATGCAACAGGTTGACAAAAGATCTTAATCCACACAAAAATGGGACAACACATGCATCAGCCAGAGAAATTGCATCATAAATAAATAAATAAATAAATAAATAAATAAAGCATTGGCAGAAAAAAAAAAAGCCTGAGGACTTCCATCTGTTTTTTTAAAGTTTGTTTAGTCTATTAAAAATGAAGTTTTAAAAGCACTAACTGCTATTAGAGAAGGCTTTTAAAAATTGAAACCACTGAAACTGGCTCGCTTAACATTTACTGAAAAAAGTCTGGACAGCCATACACTTGGATAAAGCTATGTCTGCACATTAAAAGAAAAGAAAAAAAGAAATGATGGTTTCAGATAGGATTCCAGTCTGCTCATAGGCTGGAGTTTGGATTTAAAATGACACTAGCCTAAGGCAGGGATTTTCAACCTTTTTTTAATAAATGTACCCTGGCAGCTGGATGTGGAGATAAGAGAGTTGGGGGGAGGGGTGGTGTGCAGCTGGGTGCAGAGCCGTGGCAGCATGGGGTGGTGGCTGGCATGTGAGCTTCCTCCCCCACTCCCCCCAACCCCACCCGTGAGGCCCACACAGGGACACCACTGCCCTCACCCACCCTCCCTGGCCCTGCTCCTGGGAGGTGGCGGTTTGGGGTGGTGGCACTCCACCCCTGCCCGCACATACCCCCTAGGGCCTTCCCAAGTACGCCTGGTTGACAACCCCTGACCTAAGCCTAGGGATTTTAGACTAGTGTATTTAATGTTCCTGCCAGAACCTAGAAAACTCAGAGGTTTATGGCTAGCAGGCCTTACTCTTCTGCTCAAGATCATACAGATCACGAAATTTGGGTTCAGGAATAATTTTTCCCCTAAATCAGACTGACATAGGCTGCAGGTTTCTATCTTCTTCTGCAGTGTGAGGCATAGTCCTTTGCCTAGGATCTTCAGAGCAGGGCATTAACAGTGCCTACATTTCCCCGGCTTTTAACTACGGCATATTATACCATATTCTTGGCGTTTCAAGTATAGCACCCTGGACTTCTGTACGAGGGCATGAAGCAAGATTTTAGGGAATTATTTGAGTTAATAACTACCGGTAAACAAGGGACTGTACCTGAAGACCCATAAGGCCCTTTCCAGTTCTTTGTTCTTAAGGCAAAAAGTGTTTGGAAGGCCATAATTTCTTTAATTTTTTTAATCATCTGTGTGAAATATTGTAAGACATGCAAAACATGATTGTGACAAAACCACTGTTCACAGGCAACAGAAAAATCTGAACACTAATTTTATGACTGCAGCCACACCCAGAAGGGCTAATAGCTATCTAACATATGGTATGTTGGGGCTCTACGCAGCACACATCTTCATATTCTTCTACTTAAGTCAGGACCCAATTCAGGCAAGTACTACTGTGCAGGATAAAAAACTTAAAACAGTTCCACTGATCTAAGTCGAGTCTATGTGACTAAGTGTGGTTCAGAATAAGGGTGCCTTCCTGAATTAGGACAAGGTAAATTTAAAAATCTACTTCTTTAGAAGTCTGACATGTTAGCTCATAAGTCTGTCCCTTCTTTCTTTGCTGATCATCTAGCTGTATTTTGGATATCTAAATAAATTAAATAGTTTAATTTGCTTGTATTCTCAACCTTCAAAACTCAAACATCACCAGAAATGGTTTTTGCTTTTATACATTTCTCATTTGCCCCAAAGAAACGGAAGAAATGCTTTATCCATTCTTTCCAAAGCTGTTTTAGCCTGAACTAAAGCTAAATTACGAAGATCAGAAATAAGTCTGAACTTTGGACACAGTCACCAACAAATGATTTTTAGATAAAGCCAAAGTGAAAACAAGATATTTAAAACTATTGAGGTGATGCCACTGCAGAACACAAATAGTAACATTGCAGTTTCTACATAGCAGATATTTTTCACCTGTCAGTATCCATCTTCTCTGTGCCTCCAGATTTAATGCAGCTTTAGTTTGTAGAGCATTTGGATTTCGTATTGTGTGCCCCTCATCCAATACCACTCGGAGCCATTTAAGTTTGTGTAACGGACTATTACCTCTGCTCTGAAACAGAAATTTTTGACCTTGTAACTCAACAAAATACACCGTCTGGCAACTATGTGCATTTACAGACATACTTTTTCATGCCCAGACAGGCTGGAGATCCGGCACGGAGCTGACATGCACCATGCTGCAATGCTTATTCTTGTATAAGTGGCAAAATGCACATCAGCATGGAGAAAATAGCAGCAGTGCATTCTGAACTAAAGCATCTTCTATGTGTTTTAGTTAAAAAGCATGCCGCTGCCACTTTCTATGCACTGATACATATTTTGCCACTTATACAACTGCAAGCGATGCAGTACAGGGTGCTTTTCATAGCCCAATGACAGAACAAGCCATCAAATCTAACACATGCAAGGTAAACTCATTAAAACAAGTATTCCTGTTTATCTTTACCCCTCAACATAAAATAGAAAACTAGGAATGACTTGTGTATTTAACAATTCCTGAAAAAAATGTATATCAGTAGTCTGAGACTGAAATTTTGGCAATTAGCTGCAGCAAAAGGAAAGCCGGCAGTAAGGTTTCAAAATCAGGTCAGAAAGCATGAAAGTGGGATAGGGTATTCAGATAGCAGTTATTTCAAGAAACCAAATCCAAGGTTTTGAAAAGGTACAAGCTTGCAGATGTAAGAATTATCATATAACAACTGACAGGTGTTCCCAAACTCTCCCTTCCCTTTTTAAAGCAACTGAAAAGGTATGTATGTCTGCCCACAGCTCTAAGCACTGTACATTTTTAAGGCTGTAAAGGATAAGGAGTTTTCAAAGGCATCAATAGGAGGTAGATCCCCAAATCCAACTGACATTCAATGACAGCTAAGAAGCTGTTTTTAAAAAGCTTGTGCTTTTAAAAGTCCCCAACCAAAACCATTTAGTTTTATTAACCCAAGGCCAAATCATTTTGCAGAAGCTACACATAAACTGGAAATGCAGCAAACTGCTACCTAATCCTTCCACAGGCCCAGGTATTGTGCCCCCTTGGCCACCTCCGCATTTTCAATAGAATGCTGGGAAGCAGGAGAACAAGTACAGCTTAGGATTGCTTGACAACACAATGCTCAAATATGCCATTACCATAATTCAGTTCACAAGATGGATTTGAATATATAGAATAGATTTTTCTTATGAAAAATGAGGGTTAAAGATTTTATCTCCTCTCCCAGAATATATGTATATGCTTCCAACACCCTCAAACACACGTAAACCCACTAAGTGAAATTTTGTACATGACATGCTCTGAAACGCATCAAATGTTAACAACTTTTGGATGGGACTTCAATGGTCTCCAAGCCCTCCAGATACAGAAGGAAAACATACTATTTGCATTATTCAAAACAGCAAAGATATTTAAATGAGTAAGTCAGGAACCCCATGAAATTACCAACACTGAGTTTTGTTAATAGGGATGACAAGAACATTAAGTTTGCAAAAGAAAAAAAAAAAGTTAAAAGCCAGGAAATGCCAAAAAGTTAAAGCTGCCTAGAAAGGAATCCAAGATTCCAATCTAAAAATCCAGAATTCTTACCATTCCCCTGCTATCAGTTAATATCTGACTATTATCTCATTTCTTTCTAGTGCTTTTCCACATGCAGAATGACAACCAATTACTGCTATCAGTAATTCCAATTGTGCAAGAAGCTGCACAGTGACAGAGAGATCCCAACTTTGCTGATGACCCATGTAAACATCAGCA